AATGTTAATAATTACAAGAATATTGCTTTAAGTTGTAAGAATAAAAATTAAACTTGTCTTGGAAAACGACAAGATTATTTACGTGACAACAATCGGGTAGAATAAAGTGAATCATTGTCAGGTATATGAATAATTTTCAGATAATTAGGTAAATCATTATTATGTTACGCGTGGAATGAGAAATAAGGAAAGAACATAGGTATTCCATACAATTGTCTTTTTGCTATTATTCTTGCGCAACTTGCGTCCCTTGGGCCATTTCAAGGTCATGGGACGACAACTGATTATGTCAAACACATAAGACAGTATTTATTGGTAAACTAAATTGTTTTTACGTTTTTATTTTCACTTACATCGAACGCTGAATGTTTAAATTAGTAGAACACAATTAGAAAAAAGTGCGATTAATTATGGAAATTGTAGCTATAGAAGGTACAAACATATATTATACCAATCGTTAACTACTGAATTAAATATTTTTATTATATTTTATATCAGAAGACAGCTACCCACTAGATACACGATTGCTAATAGCAACGCAACTGACATAACATTGCTGTAGCTGTTTGTTTGCACGTAGGCCAGTTACCGAAATATAAATAGCAAAATACGGAAGCCGGTGCTATAAATAATTAAATGTCAGGGAGCCATGATTCTGTTGCACAGAATTATTGCATTAGTTTGTCTTATAGTTACATGAGATCACCAAACAATTACTATAGGACGAATGAATACCGGCCGGTATGGAGGTCACGTAGAGGTCACTCATTAATATAGCAAAAACATGATACAATATGAGAAAATCAGTACAGCTAGTAAAGTATACATAAACTTTTAAATATATTACAACGTTATTTAACAAAAAATCAAAATACAACAACATAAATCAGTTAAATAATTCGGCATTATCATACGTCGTTACGTGGTTAAATAAACGCAGCAAATTATGCAACACATTTCTAATTAATAAAGAGCTTGTAAAGACAATGTAAAGAACTTGAATAAAATTAACATGTAATTGTTAAACTTACCGGAATTAATTTATGTAGAGACTGGTAAATAAGTAACTCCACATATGCTCTCCACGAGATGGAGTTTTAAAATGTCAGCTGAAGGACAAGGCAGGACGGGCGTTGTAATAATAGACAATTTCCAGAAGATCAATGAAACATAGATTATAAAAATTATAGACGGTAAACGTAAGATAAAAATGGTATCGGTTTACGTTGATGATGGTATATTTTTGGAATTCTTCTCAATATATGTGAATTGTTTTAGTGAGTGGCAATTTCTGAATCATTTTAATTTACGCACTGTCTTCAGTAATGCTATAACAGGAAATTAATGATGACTTTTTATTTAACGTTCGCTTTTAATAAATTAATTAAACATTCCTGAATTTAATACCAACGCATGAATATAGCTTAAGTTACTTATTGAAATACTTATCCCGTTATCTAAAGTTTTCAATTACATTTTAAGTCCAGATAGTATTTTACCTACTGACGTTTCTTTGAATTCTAATCTAAATGCCCAACTCTATATTTTCTCTATGTCTATTACGTCTAGTGATTTCAACATACTTTACCGGTAACGTGAAATAAATAATCGGTTTTCTATTTTATTCTTCTGTTAGATTATTTGTATGTAAAATATTTGTAATAAATCTTAAAAAATAGATATAAACATGTGATAAGCTTTGTAAACGTACTTATAACTAAAATTAATAATGAATTAAAGATTCGGTCAATTGACAGACATTTTGTTGAAGCGCGTAATTCAAAATGTCAACTTGCAACCAATTAATTATTTAATATATATTCAAAATCTATTTAGATGATTCAGTCCAAGCACATCAGGAATGGTTATAAAAGTGGGAATAAATGGTTTCGGGCGAATTGGCAGGGTAATATTTAGAACGTGTCTTCAGAATTCCGATATCGAGGTACATCGCTTATTCATTACATTACCTTATTCATTTACTTAATGTAATCTTTTAGAATATTATCTATTTTTTTAAGTATTTACGATGAATGTAGGAACGGACATACTGATACAATTGTAGGTTGTTGTATGTTTACCTGTGCGACTTGTAAATTTAAAATACTGGTAACTATTCAAAACAAAACTTAAAATTTCACCATGATTTATCAGCCAGAAAACAATGCAGTAACATTTATCTACTTTTAATCGAGAAAGTTGATTTTTAAACATTTTTAAAGGTACGCGTTAATAATTTCGTTTGGAATTTTATTAAAAAAATAAGATAATTCAGACAAATAGCATTAGCTTTATATATTATGTACCTATGCAACATGTTTTCTAAAACTCCAGGTGGCAAGTAATTTTTTTATTTAATCGACGGATATTCTAGAGACTTTATTTGCTAGTATCTTCATTGCTAGCCGCTAGGTGTTAGACTTTATAAAAACAGATTTAAAGAACAATTTTTGGACTAGTAATAGTAGTAATAATAGGTACCTACATAAACTTTTTTAACAGCTTATCAAATTGGGATTTGCACTTCTAGTCATCGAAATTAAAATGTGTAATTAATGAAATTTGAAATTCAAAATATGGTAATTTGAAAAACATATTTACTCTCGAGAGGTGGTATACTAATAACATTTATCCTTTTTATTATCAGTTAGCTGCGATCAACGATCCTGCAATCGACATTGAATATATCTGCTATCTTATAAAATTCGACTCGACACATGGCAAATTCAAGGGAAATATTACCCACACGGAGAATGAAGTTCGAATCAATGGTAAATTATTATCTACTAATAACTACCTACAGTACGGCCGACGTATCTTGACGAGTCTGAAGTTAGCCGTTTGTCTGCGCAATGGATCTTTTAGGAACAAAATTGTGTACTGCGCAGCTACTCGGCTAACTTCAGACTCGCCAAGATACAACGGCCGTAGGTATAGTATTATAAGTTTGTTTCTTTATTTGAACGTGCTACTCTTCGGAACTACTGGTTCGAATTGAACAATTGTTTTTGTGTTCGTTAGTCGATTTATCGAGGTAGGTTAGATATATGCTATAAAACATCAGGCTACAACCTGTAGGAGCCGACCAGTGAGTGAAATGGCGCAAGAGTAGCTATTTTATAGGTACTGTATTGTATACGTAAGTTAGTTAGTAGGTAAGTCCATAGTTGTATGTAAGTATATAGGAACTTGTAGTAACTGTATGTTAGCTGTGTATGTACGTTTTGTGGCTAATATGATGTAGGTATTTAGTTATATAGGTTTAGGTATGTATACGTACTATTTTTTTTTTTTGTGAGGGGAAAATCATCAAATGACTTCTCCCGCCCAGGGCCGGGCAGGAGGGAGTGTCAGACTCTTACTGACTAAAAACCCCCCTGTTCCTTCTCCTGCTCTGTGCCGAGGTCGCGGTACCTCATTGCGCTTACCCTGCAACCCCGGCTGAACGTCAGCCCTTTAGGGCCCCGTCTGTGGTGGTCGAATGGCTCTTTGAGGCGCGCGCGGAACGCTACGCGCCGTACGCTCGGGCCTGGTTCTGGTCGGGCGGCGAGCTGCCCTTACTCGCCGACCGCAGGCCCGTGCTTACGGTGGCCGGAGATCGTCCCTCGATCCCCGACGCCCGTAGTGTCGCCAGTTGCGGCTGCTGGGGCGTGAGGAGGAGGATTGCTCCCTCACGCGGGCCGCCTCTCTCTTTGCGAGCATGACTGCTTCACAAAAGGAGGAGACGGCGTCCCAGTTCCTCTCACTCCGCACCATGGCCTCGACTGAGGCCGGGCGCGAGAGGTCGCCGCCGCCGATCACTTCCCTGAGGATACGGCGGTGCTCAGCCCAGGCAGGGCATACCGCTACCGTATGCTCCACCGTATCCTCTAGGTGGTCCTCACAATGACGACACTCGGGCGTTTCCTCCCGCTGGATCCGAAACAGGAACCTACCGAAACTGCCGTGCCCGGTAAGCACCTGATGTATACGTACTATGGGGGTCAAAAAACTGCTTCGTCCTAAATTCCTGAGCAGTAGATATAAGTGTTAGATAAGTGGTAATATTTTTTCTCATTGATCATACCATTTGGCGGGAAAACACAAATTTTGTTTTATAATCTCTTCAGAGACCTATTTATATGAATATTAGGACACCAAACGACTTTATTGGTATTTATATTGTAAAATCACGGCTTAGTTTTTTTTAAGGTATAAGTCGGCACACGAGCAGACGGATTACCTGATGGTAAGCAATCGGCGACGCCCATGGACACCCGCAACACCAAAGAAGTTACGAGTGCGTTGCCGGCCTTTTGGGGATGGGGGTTAGTAGTCGTCTTTATTAAGAATTCTTAATTTTTGTGTACCTATTTCTGAAGTTGTACTAGAAGTGGAAGGATTACCTACGGGCAAACTTCTCTCCGGTCAAGGAAGCTAGTTTGGCTGATTATAAATATCTACATGACGTAATTTTCTTCCTATATGCTTCGATGTAAAGATTTAATCACATGATCTAACACTATTTGACCTGTGTATTCAAAGTCATTGGGAAGCACATACTCACCTTTATGTAACACTATAATTATGTAGGTACTTACTATACCTACTTAAAATCGTTCATTATACTTATAGTGATCGATAATGGTTGTTATTTCTACTGATATAGATTGGTACTTACGCTTAAGGTATAGTGTAAGTAATTGCAGACTATTATGTAGTTCACAGCTTCGCCTGCTAGATGAAATATATTTTTTTTACCTTTCCCCTAATTTATAGTGATTTTTCTGTCTTGTAGTTTCGTTTGCAAACAAACTTACAAGTTCACTTACACATCACATCCAGACCCGGAACAAGAATCTGTGGATCACACAAACAGTTGTTCCAAGTTGTTGCAAGAATCAAAGCCGTCCATCATTGCAATATTCTTTTTGTGAAAGAGACATAAACACATTTTGATCATTAAAATATTAGAAGTTAATTTTATGTGTGGTTAATTTTATGGAGAGCCATGCTTTGACATGATTGGGTCGGCTCAACTGGAGCAATATCGCCTCACAGAAAACCGGCGTGGAACAACCGTGTTGTGTGAGTGAGGTTACCGGAGGCCCAATCCTTCCCCTTCCCCAATCCCTAAATCTCCAAATCCCTAATTCCTAAATCGTCGGCAACGCACTCGTAACTCTTCCGTGTCCATGGGAGACACTGATTGCTTACCATCAGGTAATACGTCTGCTCGTATGCCGACCAATTACATAAAAAAAGTATGGAAGTCTTTAACCCCTTGTTATTTAAGAAATAAAAATGTTTTTGTACGATTACGTTGAGTGTTTTAAAATTTTTTATCTTTGTTTTTATTGGACAAGAAAACGCCCCCTTTTTTAACCTATTGCTCTCAGATGAACGTTGATAGGGAGATCAGAGTTTATGAGAGGCGCGGTATGTTATCTTGGAACAAGAGTAAGTACCTCTGTAAAAGAGCTAATAGTACCTACCTTTTAAATTGTCGTGTATGACCTTTATCGTTTTCTTGCATCAGCTGTGATGTGATGTCAATATCTATAGGAATGTATAACTAGTATATAGGAAACTAGCTTAAGTAGTTAAATTTAAGTATTTCTCTTTTTTAGTATTTATAAATTGAGTTACGAACTTTTCCCTTCAATTCGCAATGGCAGTATTTTAATAAGCAACTTACATGTATAAGATTATGACTAGTTGGTCTGAGAAATACCTACGTAAGACACAAGTAGAAAAAAATACCTACTGACATTTCCAGTCAACTTTAAGTTCAATAAAAATAACCCTTTCTGCAAGACCTTGAACAACTGAATTCCAGAGAAGTGTGTACTAAAGCTGGTTACCTATATATTATACAGATCAGCTAGTTAAAGTCTTCCGTGAGAAGCTCCCACCCAGCGTGCCGTGGCACACCGCGGGAGTGCAGTATGTTATCGAAGCCTCTGGAATGTTCACCAGCCTAGAAAAAGCATCGGTAGGTTGCCTACCAACTTGGTAATGTCTGGAATTAAAATTCAAATTGTTTGTTCCTTAAAAAGGCAGAAGAAATTTTATGCGCAGTTCATTTCAAAGGTAATGTTAAACACCAATATTCTCTAGCCTAAGGAAGTAGAAAACGAGTAGGTTCTGCAAAATATTTGCGTTTACTAGGTGGCGCCACTATCGATTTAAGTCCAGTTACCCGTTATTGAATACTTACCAATCAGATTGTCACAAAATCTTTATACTTTGCTTTTTTTTGAGTGTTTTTTGTTTCCATTTGTAATACTCCTTTCCCAGGGTCATCTAGCATGTGATGGTGTGAAACGCGTGATCGTGACAGCTCCCAGTATCGATGTTCCCATGATAATTATTGGCGTCAATGACCATAAAATATCTACAGGTAATTTTAAAACACACCAAGTTACTACAATTTCTTAATTGTATTGTAATGGTCTACTTGGGACCTAAGTAGACCCGAATCTAGCAGAATCCCGTTTTTGGTGACCCCTAGACCGACTAGTTAACGTGGAGATTTAGTCAAACCATTTTATGGATAACATTAAAAAATATTATAATACAGAAACGTTAATGTGCAGTTAGTTTTCTGACCCTAAGTAAGTATTTAGGTATTAATTACTTCATTAGTAATGCGGGCGACTTAATGAATACGTTTGCATACATTTTTTAAGTAATTCATGTGGACTGGATGACCGGCTGAGAATTTCGATGTAGCGCAATAATAATGTGTAATTTATCCGAATTGGGATTGAATCCGCGATTACTCAAATTATAGATACCTAAGTAGCATTGGCACCCATTTCTTAGTCCAAAAGTCTAGAATATCTTAATATTTATGATGGTTTTAAGGGCGCTCATGGGAGGCGCCGAGTACCTACTTACTATTAAAAAGGAATCGAGTTTGCCGCCTTATCAAATAAAATCAAGCCTATTAAGAACTTAACTTACCTATAATTTCTTGACAACGAATCATACCTATAAAAATATTTTAGTGGGCGGGTACAAAAAAAGAAAAACATTCAAACAAAACTCAGGGTCGTGGGTTCAATTACCGTGAGGACAAACATTATGACCCAGAGATAGGATGCGCTTATCATGCGGCCTCGGTACGGGTGAACGTGGCGAGGTCTCATGGAGATTGACAACCACAACTATTTTATAGATTATAGTTTTATTTCCGAAAAGGGTAGGCAGGGGTGTGTCCCCTGCTTCAAAATCCCTTTGCTCTCAAAATTCGACTCGATATCGGCAAACACCCAGTGCCTAATGACGGATTTTGAAGACAATAACACGTGTTGCAAAATATTCAAAGAACATCTGACAAATATTTTAGCAGTACAACCGAACAACAATTTGAGAGATTCCTTCCTAAGTAACATAAGAATATTTATTTAGATTACTAACTTTTACCCGCAGATCTGCTCTCGTCATAGAATAACTTCACTACCTACCTACACTATCTAGTATCTCCCCTACCCTATCTTCTGTACCCTATCCTAAGTTCTTCGTCTGGTTCTAAACTACATTTCCACAAATTTTCAACGAAATCGGTTCAGCCGTTCTTGAGATCTAAATAGTGTAACTAACATGTCTTTGTTATATAAATGTATAGGTGACGTCAATATCGTAATTTTACAGAACAAAAGGTCCTATCATGTGCTTCAAGCACGCTGTACTGCTTAGCACCAATTGTAAAGGTTCTGGAAGAGAAGTATGGTGTGACAGAGGGTTTTATAACCAGCATACATGCTATGACGCCTTCTCTCAAACCGCTAGATGGACTATGCTTGAGGGGAAAGGTAAGTGATAATTCATTATAAAATCATTTCTGATGATTCATAAGCATAACACTTTAAAAGCATTAGGTAGTTCTTAATCTATATCTAAGTACTCATATATATATTCTCTCCAAACTTTACACACACCATATTAATACACATATAGATGTTGATGTTTGTATAACTTTTCCCCTATTTTTCCTATTGTTCCTTTTATTGAAAGGGCATTGCATGTTGTAATGTCTGCTTTTAATAATTAAGTTACTGAATAAACAGTTATTATTATTATAAAGTTTCGGTGATATAATTATTTATTCCCAATGTATTTGCCAAGCTTGGGTATTATATTATGGGACATAATGCCTCCACAGTCAGCAAAAGCTGTTAAATCAGATGCTATAGTACTTTTATTAAAATAAACTTTGTAGGTATACAAGATACAATATACTTGTGTTACTTCAGCAAAAACTAGACTGTCTTATAAAAATCTCGTTGGTCATGCAACTCATTCACATTACCCTGTAAACATGATATACAAAAAAATCCTAGAATCAATAAATAAATAAATAATAAAAGAAAATGTAGTATGTAGAAAGTACTTGTAAATATGGAAAAAAGTTCATTATCCTATTATCTATTACCATTTTATTATTATATATTTGTGGGTTGTTGCTGTGCTCTCTTGTATGTGCGTGTTATGTACAGAAGTGATCCAGGTAGTGTTACATACAATATCATATCTCTATAGAAGTTCAGAACCTTTTGTACTTTAACACCCGGTTTCTGAAAGGCTTGTCATCGCTAAAATTAACTAATCTCCTGTTAAATCTCTTGTCAAGTCATCTGATTGGTTGTTGATAATTCAGTGAACCAATCAGATGACTTAACAAGAGATTAAATAGATTTTAACATTGATCGGCCTTTCGGAAACCGGGGGTAAGTCAGTTTAGTAAAGTAGAAAATTTTCTACATTTAAGGAAAGAAATCTCTTAAACAATTTCTTTGACTAGCTTTTTCTATACCTGGAATTAGCTCGCGGTACACATTTAAAAATTCAAGACTCTTGTTGTCATTAGTATTGTTTTTTCCTAACCCCCAACGTATTTATATGCCTGTCTACCACTATACTTTAAGTAAGATTAATATTATGGATCAAGATAATGACTGACAATAAACTTCCAATTGGCATGCTGTGTTTCTTCTTTCAGCATTGGCGCGACCACAGGAGTATCCACCAGAATATAATTCCAGCGAGTACTGGGGCATGCAAAGCTCTTGGCAAGATCATTCCCCAAGTGAAGGATAAGCTGACTGGACTGGCATTTAGAGTTCCCATAGTCAACGTTTCTGTTCTAGACTTGACTGTAAAGTATGTCAAAAAAAGTATATTTTCGATTACATTTCTGGGTCTTTGTGCTTTAACTCAGGATTTAGATTTCTAGCTCGTTCCGAGAATTAAACTCGATTTGCTTGACAGACGCAGTTTCCGACAAAGAGCCAGCTATTCAAATATCACGTTAAGCGCCATGGGGGTCACCGGTGACCTCCGTTAGCGCAGGATTCGCCTTCAACATTTTTCCATCGGCAGTCAAAGGCATATTGTAGTTTCACTTTTTGTATTAAATGTTTATTCCCAATTTTGATTTCACAGGTTAGAGTCAGACACCAACCTTGCAGATATTATTAAAGCAGTTGAAGAAGCAAGCCAATCATATCTACAAAATATAATAAAAGTATCAAACGAAGAAGCTGTGTCGTCAGATTTTAGCGGTGACAGTCACTCGTGCATTCTCGACGCAGACTCTAGCTTACAGCTAAAGCCAAACTTTTTCAAAATCATATGTTGGTACGAAAACGAATACTCGTACGCTTGCAGAGTTTTGGATTCCATATTTTTTTCCGAAAAACAATTACTCAAACCATCGAAACTGCCTTGTAAGACGACGTTTATTCGAGCGAAAGTGAAAAAACAAGACGATGTACAAGAAACTGAACGCAACAAGATACAATGCAACGTAGCAGTGACCGGTGCACATAAAATAAGTGGTAGCTCCTCGCAGGAGACCACGATAAAGAGAAAGCCGATTACTCGCTTGGCGATGTTAAGGAAACCGCTCACCTTACATAATTCGGAAGGTGTTTCAACAGCAGCTAATTGCAATCGTGGCACCAAAAAGAGAAACGAACTCTTCAAAATATGGGACGATAATAACGATGCACAGAAAACTGCTGTAAGATCGAATAGAAGTTCACTATTTCACAGTTGCATGGCTTTTGCACCCAAAAATACAGAGACGGAAAATTGTTTGAACGCTCAAGAACGTTTGGAAAATGTCAAAAAGGAATTCTGCAAAATGGCGAATATCACTGAAGATTTGCTCAAAAAGTCCTACATAAACAAAATGCAGCCAGGGAATACCGATAAGACAACCCTCAAGGAAGCTAAAACGGATGGTGATGTCGGTAAACATTCCAAAATAGACGATAATAAAACGTTTGTACCGCCAATCAGCAACGAAATATTCAAAGTTTGTGGAGACTTTAAGAAAAGAGTGATGAAAAGGCATGCAGTCGATTGTAGCAAAGAAGAAATAAATTGTAGCAGTCCTGGTGATCGCAATAAAAACATTTCAGATTACTATATGACTGGGGAAGTCAAAAAGAGTGTCTGTAATAAAAGCATGCGTTTAGCACCATCTCAAGACGAAACGGTAACAAAAAAGACTTCAACCAATAATCTTAGTCAGTTCATAAATAGTCCAAATACTGCTAACGACCTAATACACAACGCAAATAAATGTTCGAAGGACGATAAGCCATTCAGTTTTCAGAACCAAATAGCTAATACCACTATTAACTTGTTTGAGAAATATGACGATACGAATTCGCCAAGTGATAATATAGCAGGGCTATCAGACAGTATTTCAGAGGTACCTGATGTCGACTCTGCTACTGAATCCATAACTCTTAAAGATGCAATAGAGGAAAAAGAAGTCCCAGTCAGAGCTACAGAAGACGATGATGAACATTTAGAGAAAGATACTTGTAGCACTCACTCGTCAACTACAATTGCTAACAAATCCGACATAGCAGATAAAGAAAATTACACAGATTTCTGCAAATATTTGCATAACAAAAATTACAACATGCTGGTTATAGATGAAGAATTGAAAAAACGGAATATAATAATATTAGAAAACAGTTCTAGAGATAAAGATATTGAATCTGAGATCAGCCTAAGGGTTTCTAGCTTCAACAATAAATTGATTCCAGAACCAGTAATTCTAATTCCGGATGAAACGTCGGGTTACTGCAGTCCCGGAGAAACACTGACCAGTGTCAGTATCGGAAACAGGAAAAGACACAAACCCGACCTCTATGACAAGCTAGACAGCGCCAGCGGCACTGACTCAAACAATTCGTTCGAAATCAACGAAAGAAAATCTCAAGTAATCCATATCACGGATCTGACAAACTCGTTAGATGATTTGGCGCGGCTAGACAAGATATGCAGGATCATTGAGATCTCCGACGAACTGTCAGACAAGTTGTTCTCGTCCTTGGAACAATCGAATCTAATAGAACACAAGAAATGGTCGTTCAGAGACCTATGTGAAAGGATACAGCTGGACGACTTCTGTAACAAAGTCTTCGGTAAAACAAGTAGTTGATTGAGTCATTCTGTTGAAATAAAATTAAAACAATAAACGTGATATATGAATACATATATTTATTTGGGGCACTTGTACTTGTACAATATTGCTTATTAATAATGCTGTACAACAATTCGGTACACACAATAGCGATACACATACGTTGAATTACTGAGAGTATAAAAATATGCTGCTTTTAATATCACAGAAAAATCTTGTATTTAGAAAACACGTAAAAAGCATCAGGTACGTAGAATTACAACCGCCACAACGGGCGGTGTGCTAACTAAATCATAACTACCTAATCATAAGTAAATAAGCCTGTTTTTATAGAAATGCACCTTACCCGTAATGAACTAACTCTGTATGTCTTAAAAGCTTCATATTAAGGTCTATAATAGTCCGTGGGAATATGGCGTCGTTCATGTCAACGAAATCTGCGATGACAACGTTGACTGTTGAGCGTGCACCGGCCTTCGTGTACGGTGCGGGTGGGCCGGGGGAGAATTCTGCCAACTTTGGTAACACGTCGTTTATGACAGGCACAGCGCATTTCTCGCGTAAACTTGAAATCCACCTGAAATATCATATGATCCCATAAAATAATGCATTAAAAAAATTACTATTTAATTTTTGCGTTCTCTAGATGGCGCCAATGTAGGTTTGAGTCATATTCATCATTCAACAGGAGTTAGCAATTTGACGGATTACCACTAACATTCTTCTATCTGTATATCCGTTATTTCTGAAGTATTCCTAATGATATATTGACAATAAGTATAAGGACTACATTAAGCATTACTTTGTTATCTGGCCGCACGATCGTTACAGGAGGAACGCAATTTATATCTAACTGGGGTTTCATGACATGTCTCAAAAATTTCTTACCGTAACAAAATAAAAGTAGGAGTAGGCGTGAGTACAGCTTGGTGCACGAAGCCAGTGCTAGGGTTCCTTCTGATGTTTGTGAGGAAGTTTAGTAGACCCGTGATGGAGTCCTGACGGGGCCACGGTGACGGCATCATCTGCGGCTGCCAGAACTCACCCGTAGAGTTCGCTGTCTCGTTGCGGTATACTACTATCACCTGGAATGCGGTAAAAAACTAGTGTTATAGTTAGAGAGATAAATAAATTCGCCATTTTCTAGTTTATTAAGGAATCATAACTTTCATTTACATCAAATAACGTCTCCTGTAAGGCTGAGACGGTGTCTGACTCTTACTGTGTATAATTAGGTACAGCACGATTCATCGTGCCCTAAGTTGGGACTGGGTGGTATGATCGCTGTTAGGTTGTTAGTGTCCCTTAATCTTGCGATCGAATGTACCCGATCGCTAAGTCCCTAATTCCCGTTGAATCTTGCCGCCTGATCGCCGCTTACTTACTAAACCCCGGTAGGAAGGTAGGTAATTCGATTTGAAAATTAGTAAGTCCTTGTTGGTGTCCATGAAATTATAAATTTCATGTTTAATGTTTTTCCGATCTACTAATATCGTATAAGTATGCGAAAGTTTGTACGTATCGATGGATGTTTGTAACTATTTCACCTAAAAAAGACTTTAAAACAAAATTGGCACACAGATTAAAGCCTGCAATTATACATGGACTACGTTTGGTCATTTTTTCATTCGCTGCCTAATTCAAATAAGTACAAAACACACACATATCAATCAATCATATTTAAAAGCTATTACTTAATTAATTTGTCTGAACATTCGGCGTTCCCATGTGGCACACTTAAATTACACATACATACCTAGATAATTTAGCGAGTAAATAGGTCAATTAACGAACCTACGAAAGTCATAATTAAATTGGGAATAATGACTGAGGTAGCAAGTTTTCTACTTTTCTGAAAGATATTCATACAGATCTTTTATTTTGTAGATTCTCAAAAAGGGACAATTTATCCAATTGTAAGACCGCGTATAGCATCATTGGTGAAGAGTATATTACTCTATTATCAATGTCTATGTACCTACCTAAATATTCCGTGAAGAGAAGCCGTATAGGAAGAAGGAGTAAGACGTGTCTACAAAAACCAAAAAGGATATACTATTTTTTTTTTAAACATGGATAAATCCATAATTTTTTATTACTTTACTTTTAGTTACTCTCGTGCGGTTTCACCCGCGAACATTGTAGCTGTCTATCAGTGAAAGAATTTTCTATCAGTGAAAAAATCCGACCAGCGGTTCCAAAGATTACCCCCTACATACAAACTTACAAGTTTTACCTCTTTATAATATTAGTATAGATATTTATCAATAGTCAGAAGTCTTCATAATCATTGTTTATAGAGCAACACAAAGAAGTTTCAGGCACATCAGTTCATAGTTTCACGTGAACTTATTAATGAGTCAGTGTGAATAGTATCTATGTTTCTTTGCATGTTGAGGTCATCATGAATTTTAAACTAGATTCTGATAATAGGTAACGACCTAGTATTCGCTCAAAATCGATCATGTTTAGTTCAACCCGAATTAGTTTCGACATGACATTATTCGGATCTACTTTAGGGTGACGAATGACGATGACAGTACGATACAATAGCTCTCTCCAATAACATTTAAATGTTAGCAAAAAATAACTATTAAAGCTAAGTTTATTAAGGGTTGACTTTCAATATTCAGATAAATGTTATCTGAGGAATAAAATTGTTGTTGTCACTCTCTTATACAAACATTCTGACGCGACAGCATCATAATTATTCCACAGATAACTTTTATCTTACCATTGAAAAATCATCCCTAAACCATATTATGTTAGTGTTGTAATTCGGTGTACAGTGGTATGTTTGTTGGTACACTTATTTGCTTTTAAATGAAACCATATATATTTAACAAACATAAATTCTTATAGTAATATAATTGTGGTTAATAATTGTAGTATGAAATGAAACTTTGTAAATATTAAATTGTTAAATGTAATTTGTATGACGAGGGCACGTACCACGAGTCTTTAGAGAGTTAAAATTAATATTTTAAAATAAAATACGTATGTATTTATTGCCTTCCATAAATAACTTTACTGACTGTGTGTACCTACATAAATGCAAAAGTTCTGCAACGCTGCAGCTTCTACGTGTAGTCACTAGTGTCGCTTAGAAAAAACAAAATATTCATAGATCAACAATATATCAAGTAACAGTGAGCCATGCTTCGGCACGACTGGGTCACCTCGACCAGAGTGATGCCACGGCCTCACAGAAAACCGGCGTGAAACAACTACAGTGTTGTGTTTCGCGGTGAAACAACTACAGTGTTGTGTTTCGCGGTGGTCCCAATCCCTTAATCTCCAAATCCCTAATCCCCAAAAGGTCGGAAACGCACTCGTAACTCCTCAGTTGTTGAGGGTGTCCATGGGTGGGGTTGATTGCTTACCATTAGGTAAAGCGTAGGTATGCTCGTTTGCCGACTTATCACATAAAAAAAGAACAACATACCTGCATCTTCAGTCTATTAAGCGAGTTGAGCGTGATAGCTTGCAAGTCTATCCGCCGCGGCACGAGACGCGCTCCGTACAGGTCCAGAAGATACCTCCTCAACCTCATGTGATCCTCGCGACTGAAGCCATAGAAATGCTGGCAGTCCAGAATTACAACCTGGAGAATTTTAAGGAAATATTACAGAATAAATAAAATTACTAGGTACGGTCTTTCAATTAGTATGTCAAGCTTGGAGGTTATCCGGGGTTGCAGGGTAAGCGCAATAAGGCACCACGGTCTCGGTTCAAATCAGGCGAAGGAACGGGTGAGGTTTTAAGTCAGTATGAGTCTGACACTACCTCTCGCCTCACCCTAGGCGATAGTCATTTGATGAATGAAAAACGGCCTAAGCTAAGGTCCTGAGGCCATTGTGCATTTTAGTCAACATAAAGATGAAGATGATAGGTATTTAGGAAATCTGAGTTTTGCAACTAAAACCAAATTTAGGCTTAGTCTACTTAAAAAATCTGACGAAGATTTTTTATTATTATTTTATTAAAATTGAACGAAAGTGGTCGTTTCTTTATAGCAAAAGTAAGGCGTAGATACTTATATTAACTAATCAGAGGATAACGATAAGATGTAATTAAAGATAGACAGGTTTCAAAGATAGTATTTTTAAAAAAACGACGTGTTTTCTTGTGACGTGTCTAATAAGTAGAGTCGGTATCTATAGACGCATCATTGTAAAAATAAATAATAACTTAATATTCCCATTTTTTGCGGCTCCGCGGCCGCAGCTTAAGGCAGGAGAAGGAACGGGGGTTTTTAGTCAGTAAAAGTCTGACACTCTCTCTCGCTCTACCCTGGGCGGGAGAAGTCATGTGATGATTTTCATCTGACAATAAAAAAAAAAATACTTAATGCAATTTTTGAGATAGGAATTCATTGTTTAATATTTTGTATGTAGGTTCACATTTCAACGCAAATCCTTTATTGTTAATTCTAACCCCCAAAATACCGGGAACGCACTTGCAACTTTGGTATTGCGGATGTTTTCCATCATGTGATCAGTATGGTCGTTTGCCGCCTTATTGCACAAGTTAAACAGGCCTCCTGCATTTTCAAAAGAGGGAAGATGCAAGCTCGATAATGTAGCACAGCCCCGGCAAGGTAATAATATCTACAAGTATTTCAACTTCATAGAAACGGCCGAAATGCGAACTATACCTACGCGCCCGATGTCGGGACGCGCTCGGGACGCAGATAGACGCGGCTGTACCGCAGTGACGAACGGACGGTGTGTTGTCTTTTATTTAGAAATCAGCTCGAGTACATTATTTAATATGACGAATAGGAAATATTGTGCTGTTATTATGTTTGGTTGCATGAATTCGTCAATAACGCATCCAGACATAAGTTTTTTTTTTAAATTACCTGGAAACTCTGAAAGGTAAGACTATAAAATAATTTTACTTACTAGTTGCCTAGGTAGGTACATAATGTGTGTCTTTATGGATCATTATTTCCAGTTATCTCACGAAAACAGATGTTTGAATTTATAAATAATATGAATAAAGTTATTGAGACGAGTGAAATAGGTAGTTATAGGCGGTTCTGGTTCTGAATGAATCATGATACGTTAGGTACCTACCTACTTACTCTTGTGTTAAAACGGTTCATGTATGTTTTGTTAGTTTGTATAATTCAAAGTAGAGAGTGTGGTATTTTATTATTAATAATATTTGTTTATTATCTGCGTTTATGAATAATACTAGAAAATATTTAATAACAACAATAAAACAGCTAGACTCATGTAATATTTTGATGTTTGAGGGTTGTGATTTTAGAACATTCGTAGTCAGCTGTTCAGTTCGGCATTAGTGGCCAAAGAAATTTTGTTTGTTTATTTTTAAAGCACTTTATTTGTTTATATAAAAAAAAGGATATTTATAATCACAAAACTAAATGGAAACAGAAAGTAGACAAAGGTAATTAAAATACTGGAGACGAGCAGCCCTAACGCATGTTTACGTACCGCGCGGCTGTAGGTATTTATTTCTTTCAAGCGGCCGAGTTACAATACTGTATGATATTTATACTGTGGCCCCGGCCTGAAGTAGGAGATGAAACGGGGTGGGTTTAAGACAGTAAGGGTCTGACACTCCCTATTAGTCGCTATACATATATCGCCCCACCCAAGGCTAGGAAAGTCATTTGATGAATTCCCACCCCAAAAAAGCGTCTACATATGAAAATAAAAAACAATTGTCGTTCAGTCAATTTTTTTTCGTAAAAAGTCGTGGTGGCCCAGAAACAGTCGTGGTGGCCCGGAGGTTAAGGACCCCACTTCTCATGCTTGAGGGTTTGGGTTCGAAACCTGGCAAGTACCAATGTGACTTTTTCCAAGTTTTATGTAATTTCTATGATTATTTAGACACCACTGATACGGTGAAGGTAAACATCGTGAGGAAACCCGGACTTATAATTTTTAATTATAAGTTTGAAATCGCCAACCCGCATTGAGCAAGCGTGGTGATTAATGCTGTAACCTTCTCCCTATGAGAAGAGGCCTTTGCTCAGCAGTGGGCACTTATAGGCTGATGATGATGATGAATTTTTTTTTCACCATTCTATATTTTGGGCTTAAAGTTTCACACCCTGCTATCATAGGTATCTATTTTTATAACTTTCCCGCCAGGATCAGTCGTGATGACTTGGACTCGTAGTGATGGTCAGTTGATAATATCGATCGAAGAAGAATCACACAAGTCTTTTGTTTCCCTCAACCAATGAGACCGTCCGACCGATGTTTGTACAATATGATATGTACATAATTACATATTTACGGACGTTACGTCATTGAGTAGAACTGATGCATTTTGTATGCAAGGTGTAAAAGCTTTTGTGTGAAGGACATAAAACGTAATGCTTCTTTGTGTGTCTTATTTTACATTTCAAGCCACATTAGCCAGCGACTGACCTTTTTTAAATGTTAAGTGCCTCAACCAAAGTTTTTTTTTTTGTGAAGGGTAAATTCGAATTTGTTCTCCCGCCCAGGGTATTGGCAAGATGGTGTCAGACTCTTACTGACTAAAAACCACCCGGTCCTTCTGCTCCATGCCTTATTGCGCTTAACCTGCGACCTTCACTTGTTACTTACAAAAATGTTAATGTGAAAATGTTAGAGCACTCTGTATAGGAGTTATGCAGTATGAATGTTTTGAGAAAATATGTTATTAATTCAGTTTTTGTCCGGTTACAGATTTATTTATAGGTAGGTAGGTAATCTAGGGTCAAATTTAACTCTTCTACAGATAAAGCTATTAGTTATCTATCAATATTTTGCATAAAATACATACAAAGATTTTTTTAAGGTACACATATGCGGTAACAAAACAAAGTCAATGGCACTTGTAATAATTCTACTGTAAGGTTGGCTGGCGCAGTGGCTGCGCGACTAGGTGCTGATGAACATGTAACTGGGCTCGATTCCCGTATTTTATGTACACACAAATTGTTCTTTCGGATCCGGGTATGATGTCAATGAGAAATTATGAAATGTGAAGGAACAAGCATGGTCCGGTTAAACTTAGTATACAAATCAATATAAGATCCTTACCTCACCGGGATGTGAATCCACAAACTTCCTGATCTGTCCCAATGCTAATGATATTTCATCTCCATATAATCCATGAGTGAAATAAAACTTGTCATCACCAACCTTTGTGGCCAACCTCAGGTCAAAATATCTGGAAACCATATAGAAATTATAACTTCAATGAAATTCAACCTCATCACTCTAGACTGAAGTTGAAAATACATAAATATAAGTAACTGTGCAGCTTCAATTAATATACAAAGTGTAAGTATGTAAAAAATGTGCAAATTTTGAAAAAATATGTTTGTTAATTAGTTATAAGTTGTGCTTAATGATCTGTTACTTCAAAGATACCTAATGCCAATGAGAAGTTGTTGCCAAGTGTCACTGGCCTGCGTTATGGTCCATCGTAAGATCGTACCTCGGAATATTGGGTACAGTCGGTTGAGTATTGGTTCAGCATCAGGGGCCACTGTACTGGATCTAGTTATGCCATATGTCATGGAATCATGGCTCCCTGTAATATTAAAAGTATTGAAAAAAAAGTAGTGGTTTGTGTTGAATGTGAGTACATATTTACAAAGACATACACAAAATAATGTAGTTAAGTATATACTTGAAAATGAATCGTAAAAGACACCTAGCCCAATTTCGCAATTTTGTTGTGTTTGTAATTCCCAGAAGATCATTTTTACTAAATAATTTTTAAATAAGGAACATTATTAGCATGATTTTTTGGCACCCATGTGAAGCAAGGGCCTAAACTAATGCCACTTTCCAAGGTTCTTCAGTGCTAAGTGTAGACAAAATAGTTCTATCAAAAAGTTGCAGGAATCATAAACTCTGTGGTTTAGACAGGGGTCTGTTGTTTAGTGCAAGGGTAAGCCTGCACTAAACAACAGACATGAAAAATTCTGGATTAGCCTTTGTTTCAAATACATCAATTATAATGAGTGAGTTTTATATTAAATATTATAGTGATTTTTTTTCATAAAAAGTTACTGGTATTTTAATATGTTTTTTAATCGTGATTGTAACGTATAAGGGGCCAATTATACACCATTTAGGGGTGCCACTCCTACATATGTTATTGGAAATTGCAATGTAAGACTCATATGGGTTATCTATATTTTAAATATTAAAATTTTATGTAAAATAAATGAACCCATTATTATAAAATACTGAGATTATTCTGATCATCTGAAGAATGAGGAGATATTAATCTACATTAGATTATTTGTAAGCATTTCTATTTAATATGTTTTATAATTGAATTAAAAGCTAAATAAATAAAAAATTAAAAGAAAACAACTATTTTTTCATAACAACTAATATTTCTTATTTACTTATTAATATGTAGCAAAATAAAAGCTACCTATTTAATTTTGCAAAAAATCTACTTCTAAGCTTATCTACTGACTCAAATGACATTATAATTTGTGACCTTTGACCACTGCTTCACTACATATATTCATAGTAAATAGACTTATAGGTCAAGGCAAAGAGTTCTTAATTTAAATTTTAAAATATTCTCTAACTTCAATAAATTAAAAATATTACCTGGAATGGCAAGAAATATTAGAGGCATATCTTTTATGGGACCAGGCAGGTCAGCCATCCAATTCTCCAAACGGAGCTTTTGTGATGAATTATCTTCAACCATTATTGTAACTAAAAATCACAAACAAAGAAAACTATAACACAACTATTTAATAATCAAACAAACACAAATTATTATATATCATAAATTTGATTTTACGTGTGTAATTTAATTGATTTATTAATCAGAAACCGTAATTAGGAGGAACAAAAGATCGCCTGCCTACCTTGAACAGAACAGAAATTTGAATTGCAATGGATTTTATAGTACAAGGGAAACACGTCATCCCAGCAAGGTACGCGTTAACTACACTCATGATTAGCGTAGGCCTTTCATTGCTGTTTCTATAACTCCAAATACTTTCTTTTTGCAGACATGTTCAGTCATAAAAGTAAGAAATTAAATTTTAAGTTATCCATCCCTTTTCTAATGGTCATTATTAGACGTTACATTATTAATGACAATGAATAGATAGAAACAATTGGTGTCTTCTTTCTATTATAATTAGCTGGGTTATACGTCAAAATCAAATGACATTGTTGACAAATACTGCATTGACACTTGACACATTGCCATCAGTGTTACGTTTTGTTAGCGACACGCACATTTAAAATTGTTGTAACGTTTTGTTTGTAAACAAAGACGAAATAAAATGAAAATACGAAATCTTTTAAAATGGACATAGATATAGTCCACAAAATATTGCACCTTATCTTTTTCTTACGTTTGTTTTCGTATTACACTTGAATGCAGTTATATGTAAGTACCTACATACTTATTTAAATGTTATTAGAAAAAAAATCGGTCATTAAAACAAGTATTAATACCTTTCCGCTGCCTAAAAGGTTTCTTGGTAAAAGAAAATCTTAAAGTAAACGATTATTTTGACTAGATTTTCTAAGTACAAAAATTTCTTAGCGTCTTTTTCTTCACGTCCAGAGAAAAAATTTTTGGTCGGTCCGTTTTTGAATAACATTAAGAAGCAAGAAGATAATAAAGACACTGTTTCTGTTTAAATCTTACATACCTATTAAAAACAAACTGAATCCAAACTTCATGTTACTAAACGATGGGATATTGTCACAATTTCAAGTATCACCGAAAAAGATACCGGTGTTCATAAAAATATTAACAAAAAATACTACACTTAAATAGCTGTTATAACTGGGCACAATGTTTGGCACGTGTGTTTCGCTTCGCACATGTAAATGTACTCTGAACAAGATTAAACTAAAATGAACTTATCATACACTTCAATGAGAATATAGTAGGTAAATGCAAAAGTAGGATTACTGTTGTTATTGAACCGGTGCACGGTTTGCTTTGTCCCTCTGAGAGTTTAAGCCAGATGTCCACTACTTAGATTAGGTGAAAGGAGGTTTTTTTACCTCTAGTGATCCAATATTAGAATTGACCTTGATTAGTTCGGGTTAGCCATAGATTGGCCGATAGAGGAAGGCAATGTCACCAACTATGTACCTATCTACTAACAGTGGCTAAAAATAGGACTTCTTTGTAGACCCACAAACATTGAATGCGGAAAGAAAAGGAAAAAGAAGTATTATTTAATTTTAGAGGTCTGTCTTTGGACAACAAGGAGGAAAATTCGCAAAAAAATGCCCACTTCACTACCGTATAAGGATATAAGTACTTACTTATGTAGTTAGTAACAGAACCAGTTGGTAATCATTTTGATCTTGGGTTAGTTTTGAACTCTAAAATGTATCTATCTAGCTTATGTTCGTACATTTTATATCTATAATTTCTGTTTTATGTTTAACAATATTTTGCCCTTTGTTCAACAGCCCATTTCGGCTTTTGGACGACTGTAGTTCCAAAAATTAGATGTGACGAAAATTTCATTTTTGTAGTGAAATCATTGTGTCATTTGATAAACTGGGTCAAAGGAAATAATAATAGTATTTTAATACCGAATGCCCCCGATCCGTGATAACTAGTACCTAACTAGATAATAAATAATAATGAACGGTGCATTTAGGTAGGTTACCTATGAAGGTAGGAACGTACAGTTAACAAGATAGCTAAATGCAATTTTCTAAATCTAATCTCGTAAAAATAGAAGCTATTGTAATTTTTTATTGATAATCTGCTAAAGATCGATGTCCTCAGACCTCATGTCGTCAGTCGTCTATACATTTTTCAGATTTGTTTATAGAGCTTTTTCCTTTCAAAATCCATATTTTTGTTGTTGTATTACTTGGAAAAGCATGCTAGGCTAGAATTTTTGTTTTTTTCGGGTAATGTACGAAAGTACAACTTCCCAATTTAAACTTTCTAAAAAGCTCTCATTACCTACTTCCCCAGATTTTAGTGGGTAAGTTTATTTCAGAATTTTTGGCCATGTATATTTACTCAAAATGTAACCATTTGTAGAAATACAAAATCGAAAGTGTACATGAAAATATGGCTTACTCACGTGAACTATTCGAGAAAAGCTCTATAAGTTTCAATTCAAAACAGGACTCTTATTTACTAGTAGCCAGCGCGTTCATTACGTCTTCCCCAAGTACATTCATAAGATAACAAATGCTAGCACACATAGGTTAATACAAAAGGGATCTACTTCAAACCATTTCGTGTTAAGGTAGTGCGAAATGCAATCAGCTAATGCAAGGGCATCGTTAATACATTAATGTATTGCATTATTTATTGCTATTCAAGTAACGAACACAAACACATTATGGAATAGATAAACAACGTTTTTTTTCAGCGCTATAACTTACCGTTATATATGAACCGCTAGATCTAGCGGTGCTTAGCCCAAAAGTTAGATTTATAGCATTTGATGTATGGTCTTTTTTCAAAAAATTTGAGTTGGGCGAAAGATTTTAGACTAATGTCGATTTTCGAGAGCAAATCACGGCATCCGCTCCATCCTAACTAATATTATAAATGCGAAAGTAACTCTGTCTGTCTGTCTTTCTGTCTGTCTGTCTTTTCTTCACGCCTAAACTACTGAGCCGATTTCTGTGAAATTTGGTACAGACATAGTTTGGAACTCGAGAAAGGACATAGGATAGTTTTTATTCCAAAAATCTGCAGGAAGTAACTTTTCCACGTGAACAAAGTCGCGGGCAAAAGCTAGTGTAGGTATAATTGCCGAATCAAAAACTAGGAAAAGGCCAGGAGAAGACAAAGAATTTCTTAACATACCTACCCTTGTATTTCTTCGGAAGCAAGCAGAGATAGATAGCAACCTATAAGTTGTAGTTAGAGAAGTCCTTTCAGCACCAATTAGGTATTCCCGTTAAGTAGAAAAGAGGGCAAAGCAAACCAAACACTACCCGGGTCACTAACGTAGACAGGATTGTCCAACTTTAGAAACATTATGCTCACTATTTACGACCACTAAGTTCAACAAGATAACTATAACTGACAATTTTACATGCGCTGTTGAAAGAATTACTTACCTACCATTAGGTTCTAAGCAACACATTTCTTTAATGCCTTGAGTCATAGTCATAGCTATGTTATTCTTAACATTCTTTATTATTGTATTACAATTAGAAAACAAAGGAATAAAGTAGCAAAGTACAATTACATTCTATTCTACGCATAAATAAGACAGCATAGGCTTGTTTGCTAAGTAAGTAGCATTCCGGTCGGGATTGCGGACAATGATTTAATAAGTAAAATGGTGTAGATAGGTTACATAAACAACATTCGATTTTCAAAAACGGCACACTTATGCACACGTGAGTAAATCGTATGGTACACGTTAAAGTGGGATGGCACGATTCAATAATCGCTAGTGAAAAAGAGACAAATATGAAAAAGTGTGGCTAGTTAGCCACATTTTAACGTATCACTTGCTGAGCACTTGTAACGTAGGTATCTACAACTTTTTACTTATAAATATCATATTATAATATCATTGGTAAGCGATGCAAAAAATGTACCGCGGCCTGCCTGGAGCTAGAGAAGGAATGTAAGCCTGTAAGAGTTTGAAACTCCCTCTCGCCTAAGCAGGGAAGACATTTGATGATATTTACCCTTTAAAACAAAATGTACTAAATATCACTTTTTTAATGTAATAGGTCGGCAAACGAGCAGACGGATTACCTGATGGTAAGCAATCAGCGCCGCCCATGGACACTCGCACCGGAGGAGTTACGAGTGCGTTGCCGACCTTTTAGGGATTAGGGATTTGGAGATTTAGGGATTGAGGAGGGATTGGGGGAGGGTAAGGATTGGGGCTCCGGTAACCTCACTCACACGGCGAAACACAACGCTGTGATCATTACTGTCATGATGGGATCTGTCTACTAACGGCTATAATATGGGTGTTAAGATCCATTTTTGATCAGTTGTCAGAGATTTGCACCTATTAAGAACTGTATTTATTTCGGTTTTTAGAAGTTAAAAGAATAGTAGAATAACTTGCAAGTTGCAACATAGGTACACTTTAGGTTCTTGATTCTCCATATGAACGATCAACAGAATCCAAGGCAAATCCACCTCGCTTCCATCACGAAAAAAGATGGAAAATGTACTTTCGTTTTATTTTGGGAAAGTTAGAATAAAATTAAAAGAAATAAAACATATCCTAAGTAGCGGATTAGCTCATAACACTTACTTACTGCTTTTTTCGACACATTGTTAATACGAGAGACGATCGAATTTTGATTACGTACGGTAAGGTACATATGTAATAAAAATAAAAGGTTTGTTTTTAAAATGGCCCTCATATTGCCTGACTGTTACCAGTATTAATTAAGTATAAGTATTATGACCACCAATCTTTTTTTTGAACGAGACAAGAATAGAAGGTAGCATGAAAAAAAAACAACACAAAACAAAGTATTTTTTGTCATGCTTTAAATGGACGTTTTTAGTGACGGATAGTGCAATATTAGTTTAGTTAGACATACAGTTTATATTTTTAAGTGTAAATAGTTTAAATAACAACAATGAGAGTCATCTTGGTAGCTCATCAGAAAAGTTTCGATCATATAAGATGATTAAGGATGGATGTAAAAGTAATAGTTGCAGTGTAAGTACTTAAACGATGTTTTTTTTTATTACAATGTCTGAACTTTTTTAATAGCCGGTACCATTGATAGGACGTTACTAGGTAATTTACTTTACCTGTTTATTGTTACATACAAAAAAAAATTTTTTTATGTTGACGGAAGTCTTGTGTTTATTCCCGTTAATTTATTTGTAAAAGTCGTGATTTTTATAGATTTTCGGATTTGATTTCAAATAGATTTTTTGTGAGCGGAAAATCATCTAATAACTTCTCCCGCCCAGGGTCGAGCTAGAGGGAGTGTCAGACTCTTTCCGTCTTATTCCAAAACGCGGACTAAATTTAGTACTAGGATTAGTACTAGGTTTAAACCATGACTAAATAAATCGTTATTATAAAACTAGGTTTAACACTAGTACCTGAACTATCTATGGTACTAAAGTTAGTCCGCCGATGCCCCTAGTTTAAGTATGGACTAACTTCGGTACTAATTTATATTTGAGGTTATCTTTTGTGTCAATTGCGGTGTCATTACTT